TTAAAAACATATAGTAAAGGATCAACTATAACACGTACCTTACATTAAAAACATATGTAAAGGATCCAACATAACACGTACCTTCATTAAAAAATATATAGTAAAGGATCCAACATAACACGTACCTTCATTAAAAAACATATGTAAAGGATCCAACATAACACGTACCTTCATTAAAAAATATATGTAAAAGATCCAACATAACACGTACCTTCATTAAAAAATATATGTAAAGGATCCAACATAACATGTGCCTTCATTGAAGAGTTTTACAAAATTAAGCCAATATGTAATAATCAGTTGCAAAATTTATAATAATTCAATCACTTTCAGAGAATTACATTCAAACAAAAGTTGAAATGATTGAGATTTGCTTTAAACCCCTTCCATGTAAGGCTTTCCTTTGAAATGAGCTTAAAAAAGCCAAATGTTTTTATTTCACTTCTTGGTAGCCTATACTTTTAAATTAATGGAACAAAAGTACTTTTATGATCTGTTATTATATTTCTGTACAAAATATACACAATAATAAATGTTACATATCTGGATGTATACGTAATATATATATATAATTTCAATAAAACTACAGTAAAGAATAGGAATGCTTTTCTCCAGTGTTTGATACATACTTCAAAATAAATCTGACTGAGAACCGTAAAAAGCAACATTTTCAATGCCAAGCACCAATTGTTTTTTGAAACATGCAGGACACCTGCGTTATCTCAATTAAATCTCTGAAGGGGGGGTACAAAGAATTAGAAAACCTTTTTGATTTCCAAGCTTCATTACTTTAAAACATTTTACTTAGCAAATAAACAGTCAAATTGCTTCATTTATTATGAAAAGATAAGTTTGTGAGTAATATTCAAAATAATATCTTATTATAAGATGGGATTTGTATATTGCTACTATAAGTAAAAGTCTGAACTCACCTTACAAATATAAGCTACAGAAATGTCTTCATTTTCTAGGACAGCTTCTGTTTTCTGTCTCTTCTTAACTATACAAAATAGTCTTTATTCTACACAAATGTATGACAGCAAAATCATAGAGTGGAGTTGTTAAGTGCATAATATAATAACTTCTAGTATGTCACTGATGTATTACAGTACCAATGCTAGACTAACTAGACACGATTTATTTCAAAATTAAAAAAAAATCAAGAAGTTTAATTTTTTAGCATTAAATCTTAACAGTTTTAAATCACATCAAAAACACAACCATTCAAAACTTAATAACATATGGAATGGAGAGAACCACAGTATCCAGTGAAAATTCTTTATTTCCTCAATATCTCACCTTATGGCTTAATAAAAAGGTAGACACCCAAATGAACACAAGCCCAGTTTTAACGGAACAACACAAATTGCCTAAATACAATCACCCTTTTAGCTTTAAAATAGAAGAAAATGCCATGGTTTTCTGGACAGAAAGTACAAGGAGTCCTTTCACATTAGAACCAAGAGGCCTTCAATTAACAGGGATATACATTTATCACTTTAAATGATGGATGTTTTAATGTGCACCTCCCCATTTCACCCAAAGAGTGTATATATGTGAATATAACTACATTATAGTTTATCTCTACATACTTATTAGATGTTAACACTAATTTGCTTTTAAATTAATATTTTCTCTACCATGTTTATATTTTTGTCATTATTGTTTACCTTCTTATTGTTAATGTAATCACACCACACAATACATAAGAACTCACTGTTATTATCTAGGATTACTGTTGGTTCTGTTAGGGCTGGGCTTGTGTCTAATTCTTGATAAATTCATAAGGTGAAACACTGAGATAAAGATAAAGAATTTTTACTGGATACTGGCTGTTTCTCTTCATTAAACATGTTACACTCCAACGTGCACAAGGTTACCTGAATTATACCTACAGTCAAATTGAAAAAAAAAGTCTAATTTTTTTTATCCTAAATGAAATATATTAGGTAATAGCTTAATCTATATAAAAGAAAGAAGTTATAATAAAAAAATTTACTTATTTGCATTTCAAATGTAACTGAATAATTCCACAAAAAATAACACATGTTCCTGTTAACACACACGCACATTATTATGTATAATTTTCAATAAAGATTGTACAAACCTTGTTCTGGATTCACAGAATCTAATGATTCGCAGTAATTATTTTGTTGATGAGATGACCCATCTCCTAATGAAATTACATGGTCATTGTCATAACTGTTTTCCATATCTGTCTTCCTGGAGGATGCAGTAACTGAACTATAAATTGGAACATAGTGTACAGTCATGCAGTTATCAGTAAAGGAACCATGTTTGTGGTTTCTACTCACTGCCAGAAAAAGAACAAGTATTACAATGGATTACATACTGTGTGAATACTCTCAGTTTTAATTATGTAGTACAAAAAATACAGGAATATAATGCAACTTGGAAAGCTTTAAAATGTTATTTATTGTAAATCTAACTTTCAGTAACTAAGATATAAACAATAAATGCACACACACACACACATATATATATATATATTACTCTATAGTTATTAGAATTATTAATATAATTATTTTTGGATAAAAGTAAAATTATAAAAATAAATCATTTTCTTTATTACACACACATTCATTACTCCATTTTCATCATTTTTCACAGAACTACTTTTCAAGATTGAAGGACTATTAAAGAAACACCAAGTTAGCCTTATCTAGAACTTTGTTTATGATAAGACATTTTCTTAAAAGCAGAAGAGAGAGTAATGCTGGTTGCTGAATAAGGAAAGTATATATGAAAATGTTTTTACAATTTTTTGGTTACTAACTGTTCATTATAAAAATCACTAAAAACCTTTTAAAGCAACTTATACTGCAAATAGTGAAAATGGGTCACATCAGTTTTTTTTTCTGAGGAGTATTCAACTGATACTTGTTTTTATCATAAACTGTATACATGTGCAGAGCTTCCATTAATTCCCATATATGAATTTATGACCTCAAAATAGTACTTGAAATGCATTAAAAACTTTCTCACATGCATATACCAGACACACAACATTTCCTTCCTTACAACACTCCGAATAAAGGGATACAGATATATTTTTGGACCTAACCAAAACTTCATGACTTTTTTCATGTCCAACTTTGTTGTAGTTCCTGACCAACCAACTAATCATTATAATAATAATAAAAAAAAAATCAAGCTACATGATAGTACCAACTCCAAGGACTAATTCTAGTAAAGCACGCTTATTAATGCTTTGTGCACAGCTCAGTCCATTGATCCCAGCCACAGAATGTTGAAGCCATACATACTTGAACTTCAAATTTACTAAGTGTATCTTTATGAAATTTTACACACTTTTGATAAAAATCAAGTATGCTGTACCCAAAAAATCATTACATTTAATCAAGTATTTATAAAAAAATTTGTCTGTGAATTGTTAATTCCTGAGTCAATATGAGTTCAAGGTGATTTTCATGCTAACAATAAAAATATCATTTTTTCATCTTACAATTTCATATTTTAATTTACATAACCCCTAGAACTTCCTAAATGAATATCAAGTTTACAATTTACAAAGCTCTACTTTTTCTACCATAAAATTAACTGTAACTAAATCATCAACATACAGTGAAGTGAAAAGCTGAACATTATGAATCATCATCTGTTGCCATATCTTCAACTGATGATATTCAGAATTTCAAATATTAACATCACATCTAATTTCTTTTAATTTTATAATTTTATTGTTTGACTTGTACCATGTAAGCAGTTTATTCATTAATGAAAAGATATACATCACAGTGGGAAAACACCAGCAGATTCTTGTAAACCTCCACACTGTGTAGTGTGAAATATGTCCACTCAAATGTATATTTAAATAGGCCTAGTTATTTTTCCTCTAACTTCATCTTCCAAACAAAAATTCATGAACCTTTCAAAAACTAATTTTAGAAGTTAATAAATATAATAGTCACAATTGGCTTTCTAACTGAGCCATAAATGGGGGGAGGGGGTTACATTACTGCTATGATCAACACTTTACTTACACAAACACACATCGATCATTTTCTCTTGATTAACATCTTCCTGACATTCAAGCTTGAAATTAGCAAAAAAGCTCTTTCTATTGGTTATAAACATGTGAATCAAATAAGACATGGTTTTGAAAACTGCCTTGAAAGTTAAGGATAAATGGTTGAGGCTTCTATCATGGGTTGGAAAAAATATATTGATATCTCAGCAAAAGGAGAAGTTAAGACATTAAAATTGTACAGATATAATAATAATAATAAACAGAATAGCTTCTACAGTGTCTAACTAACATAAACACAAACTATTAGTTACTCTGTAGAAACTAAACTACTGGTTATACAAACAAGAAGGGAGAATTGAGAGTGCACACACAGATAACATTAAATGTAAGACTGAGATATTTTTAAATATTTCTTTTTGAAATTAAGAGCTTAAAACTTAGAAAATATAAAAATTTGAGTTATAAACTATGCTCTGATGCCAAGTTATTAACAATCTTCGATAATAAGGCTGTTTGGTTAAATTTTGAATATAACTTTGCAAAATGTCAAAACATGCACAATGGATCAATGCAGTGTACAAGAAAAGTCATTCAACTTCTGTTGTATAATGGTTAAAATTTGTTCCGAATATTTGGTATTTTTAAATGTCCTGTAAATAAAAGTTTCTATTGCAGCAAATAGTATTTGGAATACTTATAAAACAAATCAACGAGTATACTTGCCTATTTGAAGATTTTTTGTCACCATAAAGCCTTTTGTCATGTCATAAATTTCTTCCTAAAAATAAACATTCATCATTTCATATCACAGCAGGAGATTTATAATTTAAAATAAAAAGTTTTATTACAAAAAAAAAGAAAGAAAAAAGATTATGGCTTTTATCTTTCTTGAACTTACTGAGCTTCCAAAATAGCTTTTGGGTACCTGAATACATGTAAAGGTACCTACGTTGCTACAGTATCTATGAACCAAGCACTTTTGTTTATGAAAATCTTGCTACAAATTAAAAAAATTCTGATCGTTTCCTACATGATGAGAGTTTTTCATATGTAAGAAAATGCCTCTCTATTATATAAAAACATGAGACATTAAAGAATCCCTAACTTCCGTAAGTCACTGTGGTTGATTTTTTAATTCTCAAATGTTAATAATATCTATAATTGGCCTACAGTTATGCATTTGTTTAACTTGCCTTATCACTAAATAGCAAGTATTTGAAATTATATATTTAAACCAGTTTCGTATTTGTGATAGCTGCCTTTATATCTACCAGGTATATTTATCTATGTTTACAACATTACAAAATTCACATATTTCAATCTTAAAACTGCTCAGTCTAGCAAATAAGAAAACAATTACAAGTCTATTAAAGAAATAAAATGTTTGCATATACCTTATAGCATTCACATTACATAATATTACTTCTTAATGTTTAGTATGTTTTTGGTTTTAGTTCTTTGACTCATTATTTCTACGAGTTTTTAATTTAATATTTATCTACTTACTTTGTATAATGAAAACTGCATCTTAAGCATATATTTGTATATTTTTATATTTACAGTATTTTCAATTTATCAAATACAATTTGACTTGCTCCATTACCATATTATTATTTTAATACAGTAAAGTGCATTGGTAATGTGCATTTAAGCCAAAAATAAGTTTTTCTTAATATAGAAATTCATCACCTGTTTCACTGAAAATTCAGAAGACTTTGTTAGTCTCTTATTTTGAAAGTTTTACAGTTTTGCTTAACAATCTCTTAATTTTCATGCTTAATTAAGATAGTTCTAATAAGAAACTACAAAAATATTTCATTTGATAGTATTTTACATACCAGCTACATACAAATTTATTCAATTATAAACACACTATTTTATTAAAAAATCATGAGAAGTATTATTATTATATTCTTCCTTAAATTCTCAATATACTTTATGTGGAATTTCACACACTGCATCTAGTTGATAAAGAATATGTTAAAAATAACATGATCATAAAAATAAAACAGTTATCAAGTTGTTAAGCTTTTATAAATATTCAAAACTCAAACACTATTTCTTCAAGACAGAAAACAGTGAAAAGAATTCATATATCTACAAGTCTTCTTGTGGTTAAAAAGCTAAATGAATTTTTCAGAATAGATTTTGAATGTGAACAATTATCAAGATTTGATTATTAAACAACTTATCACAAATCGAAAAGAATAACTAGATAATTACAAGTCAAATTAACTTAGTAATACATGTCTTGAAAACTTCTCTTTGGTAAGAATATGAATACTAACTATATTTGGTGGGCCATGTAGAGTTATTTCAGGAACTCCTATGTCCTGTATTGTTAAAGACAAACCTACAAACAGAGAAAAATGCATTACACAAAAAAAAACACTGAAATTTGTATACATTTTTGTACAAGTTACATAATTCACTTTAAATGTTACTTATTACAGCACACCATCAATTCACATGTACTAATAATTCTCTCAACAACAAACTATTTCACAAACAAGAAATACAAAAAACTAATAGTTTTATCAATATGATATTGCTTAAAATGTCAGTTACAATGATTAAGAAAATTAACAGTTTTTGTTGTTTGTTTACAGACGTTCTAAATAATGGCACTGAACATTGACAAACATGTGGAGATTATCTGGATTGAACTTATTCAGTGTTAGACTAATTCTGAGAGTGACCATTTAGAGAAAATTGTGTCAACAACTAAGACCATTCAGTTTATGGAAACCAACTTTTGGGACATCAGGTACATAGAAAGGCATGTTACTAAACAGAGAAAAAGGACAGCAAGGAAGATAAAACCTAATTGGCTTAATAAAGACATACATGAGAAACTCATAGATAAATACCACAAGTTTTAGAAGTTTAAATTGACAGACAGGATGAAAGACACACAAAATTATTTTGAAGACAGGTATTTGATTAAAAAAAAGAAATTAATGAATGAAAAAGGACTTATGAGAAACTGCTGGCTGATAATGTAAAAACCAACAACATGGACTTAAGTATGTTAAAGGTAAGAAAACTACTAGGCTCCTAAAAGATGTTGATGGCACAGTTTTCATTTAAGACTATGAAATGGCTGAGTTTTTAAAATGTTTTCTTGTTTTTACATGAGAAAATATCAGCTCAATGTTCCTGAACTTTCGGTATTCTGTGGGAAATACTGGAACTGATGTGAATCATGTAGATATTAATCCCTTGGTAAGTAGAAATTCTGAAAATTGAAGAGTGAAATTAAAGAACAATGTATAACAATATGTCAACTACACTTTATCATCTACATCCAGTGCCAATGAGGCTGTTTATCCAATACAGGGCTCATTAAGACAGCTGTGATACGATAAACATAGTAGTGGTTGAGACACTAGTTATATTATGAAGTGTAATTTTTATCAGTTTTATAGGACTCATTTACAAATTAATATTAGACTAAGTATTAATAACATCAATAACTGGAGAACTAACAGGCTAGTCTTATTGTTCCCAGAGTGGGTCAAATAACCACAGCATTAGAGAGAGAGAGAAGACTACACTAGTAATTATAAGAACTCAAAAGTGAAAGTAAAGGATCTATAAAAATATGTCAACCACTTTATATCTGTCATATCCAGTGTCAACAAGACTTTTAACTCTGTACTAGGTTCATTAGGCCAATTAAGAGGTTAAAAATTGATCAGGGTTGCCAGTACCATTTAAAAACCATGGAAGTGGGCTTGTTTATTCTCGCTGTCATTTGTAATTTTGCTTTCTCTTTTTTCTTTTAAATATCTTAGGCTTATTTTGAAAATTTAAAACATGGCAAAAGTGCTCAACCAATTAAACTTATTTATTTAGTTAAGAAAAACCTATAGACATTTTAACTTCACAATCCTAATTGGACTTTACTTCTCATCCCTGTCCCCCAGTGAGTCAACAGTAACTTTACGGAGTTACAATGAAAAATTCCTCAAATTTCTCACTGTGAATAGAATGCATATATCCCATTATATAGCTTTGCACAAAAGCAAATAAACAAATTCCAATCCCATTGCTTTGATATGCACAACAGATTGACTGACTTTCTACCAGCACACGAGCACTTTCCTTTTTTCAAGCTAGACCCAATCGGGGGGTACCTGGGATAGGAGTCAGTTTATGACCCCCACTCAATGTGCAAACTGCAAACCAACCAGATCTGCTCAGTAATAATAAACGGCAGTGGTTTGGGCAGAAAAGCAAAAAGATATTTGGAATTAAATTTTACATGGAGGGGGGTATTCATTGTGTGAAGACCAATAACCTTTCCTACTATTGAATCATTCATATCTCAGCCAGCCAAATGAGCCCTAGTAAAGACCTTGTTGGCATGGAATATAGCAGATATTGTGAGGGTGACAACTCGTATACTTTCTTCTTTACTTTCACACTCAAATTCCTACAGTTTACTTATAATCATCAAATAAACTTGACATAACCAAGTAACTGATCCAGAAACTAAAAAGAGAAAGGTGCAATAAGCTAAAGTTTTTCTCTATAATGATTAGATTACAGGGGGGGCTCACTTAAAATATAATTTAAGAATAATTGTAGATTTAAGGTTATATTTGTGTATTTTTATGTTTTGCCCAGTAACTTCTTTTGTGTCATAGTTTGCTCTTTTACTGAGAATTTTACACACATTAGAATTACAAATATTATGTTCACATGAATAGAAATGAAGCATGGGAAAAGTTGGGCTTGTTTTGGGTTTATATTCAAAGTCTGGATTGCTTATTTCCTGACCAAAATCTGGCAAACCTGAAACAGATAAACACCAGGACTAGGTAAATTTTCCTCAACATTTTAAAGAAGGTCAAAGATCAGATATGAGATCCTCTCTTTCATTTTTGGTAAGTCATTTGACATTGGGTAGATGCATGAATATTGGATAATTGTTAATGTAACTCCCAACAGTGAAAGTAAGCCAGTCCAGTAAAGTGTACGATTAAAAATTTTAGTACTGATACCATAGCGGCAAACCATTCTGCTAAGGTCCTTTTATGTTTCCACTTACCATAATTGTTTTTACTAATATTATTTGGATGTCACATTACACTGTTATAGAAAAATACTGACCTTCAGGCACCACTCTCAATCAGGTGGAACACATTCACATAATCTTGGTCTTAGTTTTTGATTCCATCCCAAACCAAACTTAAATTGACTTTTTAAATCTTTTTATATCTTACTATAATAGATGTAACATGTAGGTCAGTATCTATGTATGTAAACAAAACTCCTGAGCCATCTACTAAATGGCATCACAAACAAAAATCCATAAAAAAAAAAAAAATTCACATTTTGGGTATTCACGATTCAGACAATTTGAAAAATAAATGTGGTATGTGCAACAACCATTTTTTTTATAACAGAACACAATTTTAAATAAAAGCAATCTCCTCACAACAAGAACACTACTTACACTAGGCCTGTATGAGGGTTTGATTATATCTTTATTGATGTAATTTTTAGATGTAGTGCTGAGAAACTGGAGTTCTTAAAAACTATTATTTTTTCAATAAATGGCACCACTTCTAATATATAAAAACATTACAATTTATACGAGTAAAATTTGTAAAAATTTTTGGTTCTGTACATTGAATCATTTTGATGCAACGAGTTGCGTATGACTAAAGAGCATAATCCAAACACTTTTCCGGTGTAGTACTTCCCAGAAAAAAAAATCCTTTTTTAGAAAATCTTCACTTTTTCTAACTTTTTTTTTCAATGAAGTATGAATACTACGATTAGTAATTACTAGCACAAACAGCCAGCCATAGGGTGGTGTTTCTGCTAGTTAAATGCAATAGCTATTAGTACTAATGCATGTATTCAAATTTTTGAAACTTTGGTCTATATAATTCAGCAGTGTCGATTTGTATAATTGTGGGAGGGGATGGAGCAAACTGCTACCATATTAAGAAGTTACTTTCATCAGTGGTTATTCCTGTTTTTAACGGGAGCACACAAAACTTGAACTAGAAATTTCTAGTACAACTAGTCTTACTTCTGTAGTGGAAAAAATTCCAAAGAGTCTAATAAATAAACTTAAACTTTACAAGATCATTTAGTGAAATAATATATCAAAAATAAAGCCAAAGGAAAATCTCACCTTATTAACTCTCTCACTACAAGGTTGGTCGAATCAACCAACCTCAACCATTTTTGTACTCGTTATAGTTTCCATACTATAACTTTAACACACTTTGTGTATCTTCACAAAATCTGGTAAACCTTTAGTAAACATTACAATTCTTTTATACACAAAAAAATCAGATTTTTTTAATAAAGTATTTTTACTAAAGATTTGTCCATGAATATATATAGTATATCTATATACTAGTCTGACTGCTAAGTGATTTCCACGTTAAGATTAAAAATACTTTTCTTCACCTCAAAAATCTCAAATTTTATTTGTATAATTTTTAAAACCTCCTAAATAAATTTCAAACTTGTTTTTCAGTAAAACTTTATATTTTATCTGTTATTTTCTCTACCCTAATTTTATACAAGATTGGTCAATTTGACTGATTCCCCCCCCCCAAAAAAAACTTTGGTAAGTAAATCTAAATTACCCTTTTTTCTTACTAGAATGACATCAAATTATAATATGATACATTTGTTTATCCTAAATAGCTTTAAACTCGTAACAGTATACATATATTTATACTTAAATTTTATTGCCCTTTGAACCCTATCTAACTGCTACACATACCATTATAAGTTGTAAATCACTTCATAAACATGCATCTCACATTATGCTATTAAATTACACTACGCATGAGCTACTCACAAGCTGCTCGTGACGTATCTTGTGAAAAATTTTATTATATTGTTATTATTTATTTCAACTAATCTATCATTAACTAACAAAAAGTTTCATATTTTTCATTTCAGTTACTTATATAACAATAAATACATGAAAAACAAGAAAAAAGTACTTGCTTTTTTTTTGGCTGTTGACTGTCAATGACATTTAACCCTACTTTTTTTTTTATACTAATGGTAGTATTGCACTAAATTTTTTACTTAATTAAACAACTCACTAAATAACACAGAATAATAACATGCAAAAAGCAATGTCCCATAACTATCACAATTTTTCTGCCATTATAACCATGCAACAAGAACCATTAAAACTTCATCTAAGCTTGTTGATATGTTTCTCATGGGAATCAAGCTTGAATTGAAAGCAAAACTGACAATTTTCTTTACAGAAAACAATGCAATATAATATTTCATTTGACAGATAAAAACCTTGGTTTTTCTATTGGCTATAAATAATGTAGTATTTAACATGAGAGAGAACTATTGGCAATTTCTAAAAGATAGGATGTGAAAGGTAGTTGTGGCAAGAGTGTGTTAAATTTCATACTTCCTGGAGGGGTGGTAGATAAATTAAAGAAGAGAGGATGCCTAGAGAACAAATGTCAATTTTCACACTAGAGGAAATTCTAGATTAAAAAAAAATATATTACCTTATAAAAGTAAGAACTTAAAACTTATGTGCTATTAAAGTATGGGTTATTACTTACATTTTTATCCTATATTTATTGGTATACCATGAAAAGAGTGTGTGTTTAATTAAATTTTGAATGTAACTCACTAAAACCTCGACATGCACAGATTAACCCTCTCTGTGGAGAGAGGGTTGATCTGTTATCTGTCTTCCAAGGATGTTACTTGTAATTTGGGCAATAAAAAGTGTATAAACTCAGTGAACTTAGATTTTCAAAAAGCATTTGATAAGATGCCACACAGAAGATCATATCAACGGGGTTTGGGGAAAGAATATTTTATTGGCTTTTAGTATGGTTAGAACAGAAAAGAACTTACTAATGAAGTCCAGTCAGACTGGGTTCTTGTTACTAGCAGAGCCTAAGAGGTCAGTGCTTGGGTCTTGGCTTTTTAGTATTGGGAATAATTGCTAAATTATTAAAGTTTGCTGCATTTATTAAACTCTTGGGCATTTCTAGATGTCATTAGAAAGTTCTGGTATTACAGAATGACTTGGAGTAATTGGTAAGTTGGACAAATATTCATCAAATTATCTTTAATTATAATGAGTGCAAGGTAATGTATTTGGGTTATCAAAATTTGGACAATATGTCAAATATAGATGGGAACCATCATAATAGCATGACTGAAGAAAAAACTTGGCATGGCAGCAAATAAGTAACTCAAGCCATCAAGGCAGTTCTCTGTTGCTAGTAATAATATTAATAAAATTTTAGGGTGTAATTATAGATATAATGATAAGACAAACAGATGTAATCGGGTCTATCCAAATCTTACTTTGGAATACTGTGTATAGTTTTAGTCTCCTAAATAATAACAAATACTAGCTTATTGTAAATGGTTCAGAAGAAAGCTACAATGAAGATTACAGGTATGGAATGGTTGTTTTATAGGAATAGGGATAAGTTATCATCTCTTGAGAAAGGAAGAGTAAGAGGTGATCTTATTGAAGTATACAAGATTACCTGAGAGATCAAAAGGATAAAGAACTCTGATTTCAACATGCTGTATTCTGAAGTCAATACGATGAGAGAACACAAATTTAATATCAACTTCCAATCAGAGCAAACTAAGTACTTAAAGCAAAATTAAAGATCAGCTGGAAATTAGTATAGCTAATTAACTATACTTTTCTTACATTTCTACTTATATATATATATATATTAGGTCACTAGGGCTAAATGTTAGGCTTAGCTTAATATGTAAAGATAAGCAGAATGGCTGGTTGGACTTGTGGGATCAGTGCAATGGAAGAAGGGAGCTTTTTTGAATTGATGGTATATATTTAAATAAAATAGGGGCAGCTTGTTTGTAAGGGCTATTAACTCAGCTGTAAAGGAAATTTTAAACTAGGACTAGCCAGTGGTGAGGGCCAGAATAAGCTAAAGAATAAGAGGTAGATAAAAGTTTAGCATAATAAATGAGTATAGAAGTAGCTCTTAGGGTAGGCTTAAATGTTACTATTGTAATGCAAGTATTAAAAGAAATAAAATAGATGACCTTACAGCACTGGTAGGAATGGAGGATTTTGATATAATGGGAATAACTGAAAAATGGTTAAATATAGATGATCTTGATGACAGAAATTTCTTTGAAATACAAGGTTACAGGCTATTTAATAGAGATAGAGTACTAAAGAGAGGGAAGGAGAGACTTTATATATAAAATGTGAGCTACATCCTGTTGAAGTTGAAGAATAGCAAGGAGGTTGAATCCATTTGGGTTTCTATTAGTGGATATAAAGGGAAAAGGCTTTTAGTGAGAACTTGTTACAGACCACCAGATGATACTGATGAAATTAATGAGAAACTTTATAACGAGATTAAAATTTCAGCTGTTAATGAAGTCATAATTATGGGTGATTATAATTTCAGGCTTATAGTTTGGGAAATGCTAGAGTCAAACCCACGAGGGAGAAAGGTTTTTGGAAACTGTTCAAGATGACTTTCTTCACCAACTAGTCAAGGAACCTATTAGAAACAATGCTATTTTCATTTTATTGTTAACTTCAAATATAGAAATGATGGAGAGGGTCAAAATTAGGGAACATCTGGATGCAAGTGATCATTGCTCTTAGGTTTGATGTTTTGCTGCATATGGAGATAAGGAATAATGATATTTTGGTTACAAATATCAAAAATGCAAATTCTGAATGGATGCAACAAGAATTATCTGTTGTGAATTGGGCAGCTGAGTTATTTGAAGACACTGATCAAATGTGGAAAATTTTTAAAGATAAATTTTTAAATATTCAAGGTAAACATATTCTTTACAGAACGAAAAGGGTAGCTACAAGTAAAAAACCAGGTTGGCTCACAAAGAGTATAAAAGATAAAATTAAAGAAAAGCATCGAAAATTTAAGAAATTTAAACTGACTGGTATGATGGGAGATTTAGATGATTATAGATGATCAAGAAAGATGGTGAAACAAGAAATTAGGACATCAAAAAAGATGTATGAGAAAAGGTTGGGTGAAAATGTAAAGATTACAAGTAAGGATTTCTTTAAATACATGAAGGTAAACAAAATGTTAGGATTGGGGAAGGACCCTTGAAGAATGATAAAGGAAGGCTCATATCTGATGATTTTGAGATGGTTAGGTTATTAAATTCTGCTTTTTCTTCAGTTTTTACCAATGAAGATTTAATCAGTATTCCACATCTTGACCAGTTGGTAGATGGAAACAAGACTGAACAAAACGACTACATTAATTCTAAGCTTGTTAAGAAAAAAATTGGGAAGTTTATAGAACGATAAGGCTCCTGGGCCAGACAATATTTTTCCAAGGGTTTTGAAGGAGGTTAAGGATTGAATATGAGCCACTTGCTTGAACAGTGGGCAGGTATCAGAGGATTGGAAGTTAGCTAAGGGAGGAGATAAAAATTGTCCAAGTAATTGTCCTCAGTTTCACATCAGTTGTGGGAAAAGTTTTGGAAAGCCTGATAAAAGATGTTTTGCAAAGCCATTTAACAAAGTTTAGAATTTTATTGGATAGTCCACATGGTTCCACTAAGGGAAAATCTTGCCTTACAAATCTTTTGACATTCTTTGAACAGGTTACTGTGTATGTAGATATGGGTAAAGGTGTATCTGGATTTTCAGAAAGCATTTGACAAGGTGCCAAATAAAACAATTGTAAAAAAATTATCTCTATAGGTGTGGGGGGGAAAAGTTAGCAAATTGGATAGAAGAATAGCTGGAAGGAAGAAAGCAGAGGGCTGCTATAAATGGAGTTCAGTCAAACTGGATTAATGTTACAAGTGTGGTACATCAGAGATCGGTCTTAGGACCTTTGATCTCTCTAATTTACATCAATGACATAGATGAATGAAGTCAATAAATTACTTAAATTAAGGTATTGGGTATTGCTAGCTGTGAAGAGGATGCTGCTGATTTACAAAAGGATTTAGATCATTTAGTGAGTTGGATAAATAAATTGCAAATGGGTTTTAATTATAATAAATGCAAAATAATGCATGTGGGTTATCATAATTCGAATTATAAGTATAATTTGCATGGGAATAACCTTAACAGTGTCATGAAAGAAAGGAATTTTGGTGTAATAGTTGATCCATTTCTTAAGCCATCCAAGCAGTGTGCTGTTGCTAATGGTAGGGCAAATAGGATTTTAGGTTGTATTGACAGAAATATTGAATACAAGTGTAGAGAGATTATAATTTCATCATATAGGTTACTGGTTAGGCCACATTTGGAGTATTGTGTTTAGTCTTGGGCTCCTTACCTTTGGAAAGACATTGAATTGTTGGAAAGGGTTCAGAGGATGGTTACTATAGTGGTGCCTGGTATAGAGAAGTTGCCATACAAGGAAAGGTCGAAATCTCTCAGCTTCTTTTCTCTTGAAAAAAGAAGAGTTAGAGGTGATCTGATTGAGCACTTTAAGATTGTAAAGGAAATTGATACTGATGCATCATATTTTTTCATACTAAACAGTGTGAAGAGTAAAACTAGGGAACACAAATATAAATTTTGGCAGGGTAGGAGCCATCTTCAGCTAAGACAGTTATATTTTTCTAACAGGGTGGTTGACCTTTAGAATGGGTTGCCTTCAAATGTTGTGGAGGCAGTGAATTTGGGTGAGTTTAAGAGAAAGCTTGATAACTATATGAATGATAATGGCTGGCTTTAACATTTTTTTTAAATTTATTTATTTATGTAATAGTTTTAATTTACTTCAGAAAAGGGGATAGTCAAAATAGACCATTAGATCCCTTGTTGTCCCAAAACATTGTTATATATTAGAATGCAAATTTGTAAAAAAAAAAAGGGGGGGGGGACGCTAGGCTCCAACTAAGATAGTTTTGATTTCTCAATAGGGTGATTGGCTGATGGAGTGAGTTCCTGTCAGTGGAAACCATAACTTTAGAAGAGTTTAAGAGGAGAATCAATGATAGGTTTGAGAACTTTAATGGACTGCAACTGCCTGTTGAGTGAAACGAGGATGACGTTTTGGCTTCTATACTGAGGCCTTATTCAAATCACTGTAGGAACTTGTAAAGTCTTATAAAAGGTAAGTGCGGCCTAGTGGTATAGCGAGTGTGATGATTGGCAGATGTTGTCCATAGAACTATGAGGTCATCATTTTATCTGCAGAGTTTGTTGAGAGTGGATGTCCATAGCTCGTTGACGTAAAAAGTTTAGAAAGTATACTTTATTCCTTAGCTAATTTTTTTCTTACCTGGAAGCCCTCCAATATTTTCCCAACTTTTGTAAGTGAAAAATACATGCTCCAGCTTAGCTAATTTCATTCTAGAAAAGATTAAATAAAGAATATTTTGATTATCTGCTTTATAAACTTTCAATATTTGATTAAAAACTTGTATGTGTACAACTGAAAGGTCTTTGAAATGTGACAAATGAAAACAACACTATAAGGAACTCACACACACACATATCTGTGGTACTTCAGAATCAATTAATTCCTCCAAGCTCATAAAATAAGCAATGACATGTGGAGTGGCTTGACAAAAACCAATATAGATCTTGTGTATTGTAATTCTTATACATTTACATATATTAAAATGTGTTTGTCGAATTCAATTTTTTTCTGTACAAGAAAGGATTCCAGTATCCAGACTATTAAAATACTGAACATAAAAAGTAGGGGTAATTTTACAGATTATAGACAAATATAGTTATCTGCAAAGTATGTAAGACACCTTAATTTTTTAAGGCAACTAATGATATTACAAAAACTTTTCTGTTATCAAAAAAGAAATTCAACAGAGCTTTAAGTACAGAATAAATTGATTTCTTCAATTACTGTCACCAATACTGGAATTCTGTATTGAAGGAGTTAACTAAAATTTATATACATCTAGATAACTTGTTTTTGAATGAACAAAAAGCTACAAATTAGCAAAAGTTGTATACTAAATCACTCTTGCCTTTTCTTTTATGTAATCTTGTGATACCATATTCCCTCATTTACAAGACACTTTAAACAGAAACTCTAGCAATTAACATCACATCTACTCTCTAGTTTATTTTCCTGATGTCAGCCAAACATGGAGAGAAACCACTTGGTCATAGCTATTTTGAATTTAATTTATATCTAACAATGTGGATTATATTGAATTTCTGGGTAGATGAAAATCAGAATTCTCATATCTAACAAAAATGAGAATGAGCTAGAAAAAAAAATGAAAATCAATTTTTTTCTGTGCAGAGAAAATGATGTAGCAGACAGGATTGTTTGTTGGTTGGTTGTTTGGTGCTTTATGGCACAAAGAAAGAGGCTATCTGTGCCAAACAACCAGTAAAAACAGTGAAAGTAAATTAGAATAAAATGTAAAAATACAGCGAGTTAAAACCAAAAT